GATTATGTAGGATCCATTCATCCGTTCTCTACTAACAGACATGAACACACTGCGTTTGGATCGAGTTCGGGTCTGAAGGTCATGCAGCTAATGGAGATAGCAGAAGTGATCGTACAAAAGGTCCATGTAACTAGCATGAACCACAGCAGCATCAGCTACTAGTGCGGGCTTAGGTTGAAATGCTATCACTACAACCACCGCCGCCACCACCTGCACCTCCGCCGCCGCCACCACCACCACCACCACCACCACCACCACCACAACCACCAACAACAACAACAAAACAACAACAAGAAGCAGCAGCGGAAAAAACATGAAGATCAAAGCGTCATGACCATCATCATGACAGCCACCGTAAACATCATCATCTGACATTGTTTCTCATAATGAGTTTCTGGGTTTCCTTGGCTTTTGAAGTGCGAGATCAGACGTGCTCTCCTGGAGCTTGTTACCCCAAGACCCATGCACTGCACATTCATATTAATGCCACCCCACAATCCCACATTCATTCCAGAAAATCGACTATTAAGTATCCACGTCCCCAACAGCCAACAGCTGATTCCTACACCGTAAGCATTGAACCCTTCGAAGCTTTGAGAGCAACCGCAAGCTACCAGACTCTTTGTGCCCAAGCATTTCGCCCACCGCGCCTTCAGCAATGGCCTCTGCCAGAGGAAGACTCGGTCTGTGGTGACGATGACATCTGTCGTGGAGTTGTACGGCGACCTGAGCCAGGATGTATTGATTTCGGCTTGGGATTTTTCTAAGTTTTATTAGGGCTTCGGTCTGAGGGCCCAGGGGCTATATAATGACGACGAGAGACTGTGGGATGATCATTGGAAGAAATTGTAGGACAGTCTCTGGTCATCAATTGGGTTTCTCTACCTGAGTTGAAGGTTTTTTAGGTCTACAATTAGTGTTTTTTTTCTTATTTCTTATGGTACTTTGATTTTTCGGCCGAATTTTTCATATTTTCTTCTCATTGCGATTACTACGCGTATTCAGAATGTCCTCACGGTAATGAAAGGTACAACTCTACCACTCAAATATCAGTATGATTATTACTGAGGGGCTGGGTTTAGGGTTTAGTATTATCGCTACTTTGAATTATTGCTGGTATTCTTAGATTACTGTTACTATTACCACTACTATTTCTGACTGCCCTCTAGAAACAGACAGGGTATTGCTACGCCTGAAGATCTTGCTGCGTCGGATGACCAGCACGGCCTTCAGACCCTGCAATTCTCACGTGGCGTCATCATCACAGGGGACCCCATCATTAGGAGTATAGTGTTTTGAAATCTGTATCGTGATTCCCCCCTTTATGGGAAACTACCCGATTTTGGGGTGAAATGATGCGAGAGCTACATGAGGATCACGAGGGCAAGCCATCCTCCATTTTAAAGCTTCCACAAAACTTACAGCTGGTTAGAGGCTTAAGATTTAGGGCTTGGGGTTTAGGGTGTAGGGTTAGTAGGGAATGAGGGGAAATAATCCCTATATAGTCCCTGCAGAATATATTCCCTCATTCCCTACTAACCGCCAGTAAGACGAAAGGTGAGCAGGGTCTGGGCTCGAGAACCTGGATCTTCAGCAGTCTCAACCCAGGAACATCCACGCAGTTAGGGTTTATGGTTTGGGGTTTAGGGTTTAGGGTTTAGGATTTAGGGTTTAGGGTTTAGGATTTAGGGTTAAGGATTTAGGGTTTAGGAATTTAGGATTTAGGGTTAAGGATTGAGGGTTTAGGAATTTAGGATTTAGGTTTAAGGGTTTAGGAACTTAGGGTTTAGGGTTTTAGGGTTTAGGAATTTAGGGGTTTGGGGTTAGGGTTAAGGACTGCGCCATGTCCTCCAGAGCTTCTGCTCACATCCTGAAAGTGCCGCAAGAAGTTGCGCCATCCCTCAAACAAACAAACATTGAAGCTGACAGTAGGGTTTAGGGTTTAGGGTTTAGGGTTTAGGGGTCAAGGGTAACCCAGACCGATGATTGATAAACTCCCTCCCAATAAGAGGAATTATAGTGGGGATCCTAATATTAAGGCCGTTGAAAGGAGGCGGTCTATTACTCAGGGGTCTACATTATGTGGTGTATCAAGTCTTGATTCAAAAACTTGAGAGCCACGGGCTGGGACGAAAGCTCGACAATGGACAGGGCGTGGGACACTGGTTCGTCTGCC